ACCAGGAGCCGTCGCCGCGCCGCGCCCACCCCAGATCCCGAGCGCATCCAGCGTCTCCGTCGCCTCATGGTGGTCAAGGAGGACGCGGACGGCACGACCGGGGCTCGACGCCAGGGCCCCGGGCGCAGCAAGAAGGCGCCCCGTAATGTGCTCACGCGAATGCCCCGTGAGTGGTGCGGGACGGCGGGAGGTTTAGGGAGGGTTTGCAGGGGTCCTTTACGGAAGACTCGAGGGTGGTGGGGGCGCGGGGAGGGTCGCCTGTGAGTCACAGGGCGCTCTGCACGAGTTGAGGACGAGGGAGAGTGACGACCCACGCGGGAAGATCTACACAGGCCATTGATGTCTGGAGGAGTGTTCCCCGGTGGAGAGGAGCTGCAGAAGGGCTGCGGGAGTCATGAGGCATGCGGAGTGATTGTGGGGCTTGCAGACAGTTTGGGGAGCATCAGAGGTCTGCAGAAGTGATGAGAGGTCTTGGGGACCACTGCAGGCTGATGGGCAGGAGACAGACGGAAGTTGTGTGGAAACACACGCTGCCAGTCTTAAGGTGAGTGGGATCTGAGGGTCTTAAGGTGAGCAAGGCAGTCGATCTGTTCTCATAGCACATGAGACATTTCATATCCCGACATGAGAAGTGACAGCTCCGCCTGGGGTGCCGTTTGCAAAATTGCCTGCGGGTACTTGATCCACCTCTGTTCACATTAACTAAATCACTACTGTTGGAATGCCGCAGACACAATGCCACCAACACACAGGTGCCGTTTTACAGCCACTAGCTGGCTGGGGCAGTGTCTGTCAGGCTCAAGTTGCTCGGCCGCGCAGGTGGTTTAAAATTCTGAAGGTGTAAATGGCACAAAGGAATTTCTTGCAGCTTCCTAATCGATGCTCAGGTGAAGCTGTAAACAGCAAAGGTTCTACTGTGCTAGTTGGGTCTTGTGCAAATGAGATAGAAACAGCCTAGGGTTATACCAAATAATTCTGACATCTGCCCTGTGAACACAATGACCTAGTTAGCCAGTTAGCGTGTCTGTAGCCTACTAATTAAATCGTTACAATGTTCAAGTGACTTCTTTTCGAATAGAGGAGTGAACTCGGCAAGAGATTTTTGTTTTGATGTTCCTAGAAATGTGTTTATTAAGAAAGAAATATCCCGAAAAGTTGTGTGCTGCTGCTGGTGCTTTTGTGGGAGACACACGGTACCAGAGCCTTCCTGCCGAGCTAGGATTTTTCAGAGCTGGCTTGCACAGCAATAGCAGAAGGACAGAGCGTGCACAGCTCTGGAAGGAGCTGTTGCAGTGCCTTCTTTTGCCTACGTGGTTTTGCGCTGTTCGCTTGTTGAATTGCACCCAAGGCTCCGGGTGTCACATTTATTCCTCTTACTGCCTCGCTACCAAGAATTGTCAAGGGAAACACTTGAGAGTGGTTCTGGTTTTTTCTGTGTTAGGACTGTGTGAAGACCAGCTCCATCTGGTTGTCTTGATTAAGTTCATTTCTGGAGTCAGGATCTCAGGGTTGGCCCCCGTCACTGAAAACGTGAAGCAGTTGGGAGTACCATGAGAGATAGGTAGATGCCACAAAGCCTTCAGAAAGCAAGCAAATGATTGAAGTCAAAGGATTATATTTAAGGAGTTTTTTTTTCCCAAGGGTCCTCTTTAGGATTTAAAGTTAAATGAAGAAGGACATGAATAAAAAGCCTTCAAAAAGCAAGTTATTCAGTATGCTGAACATGTTGCGGAGGTTGGCCCTTTTCACACGTGTACAGGGTTCACCCTGGTTTGAACACTGGCTTCATCTCCTTCCAGCTGTTGTATTTTAGGCACACACTGCTGGCTGGACCTGACTTTCCAACGTGGTGCCGAAAGCAGTACTGGCATCTGTCTGTCGCTGTAAGGGTTAAATTGATCACCAATTTGAAACCATTTGCAGCAGGGGCATTCTCTAATGGGGAAGGTTTCCGCAGTGTCTGCCGTCACTTTCCGTAGGATGTAGTGATGGTCATGATTATTTCCAGGTTGACATAATTAAGGGTCAGAATACTTGTAACCGATTGCTTGCGGTGTTGGCTCAGCGGATGGCTAAATAAGGGACCTTGAACAAATTACTTCGCTGCTGTGGAGCCTCTCTGGAAATTGGAGTGAGATAATTGTGAGCGCAGGAGGACCCAGCCTTCCCTGAGGGTACTAGAGAGAGCGCACCAGAAAAGGTTAACTTTGTGGTAGACCTCGGCTGACAGCACTTCTTCGTATTTTGTTTACCTTTTGAACCGGCTGAAGCAGTGAAAGTGAGCATTTCAGTCCTTAACTGGCATCTGTCAGAACCCAAACTGCTCAGGCAGGGCAGTAGGCCAGATAGGATCTTCTGTTATCTGTGTGGTCCCTGAACCCAGTGCTGCCTTGAAGGCCCTTATTGCCACTCCTGAGGTTTCTGCTGGGGAAGGTGGTGACTGGGCCCTTTTTGCTCCAGCACCTCCACCTCAGAAACTCTGGAGCCATCAACCATCCAGCCACTTCCACAGTTAGGGACTGTTCTTAGGACCTATGGCAAATTTTTTTTCCCTTTGAGGCGATTTCTCTATGTAGCTCTGGCTGTCCCGGAACTCACTCTGTAAACCGAACTGGCCTTTAACTCACAGAGATCTGCCTACCTCTGTCTCTTAAGAGTGCTAGGATTAAAGGCGTGCACCACCAACGCCAGCCAGCTGGAACTATGGCTACTTTTAATGCTTCATATGTGCCCAGGAACACTTTGTCTCAGCCACCTGGGACCTGTTACCTCAGGCCGTTGTCAGTCTGGTCACAGCAATCTCCGTAGCTGTCACATCTGTTTGATACGCTCTCACCTCTGCTCACCATACTGACTGACAGCTGCCACCTTGGGAGACTGTACTTCAACTCTACAATGTCCTCCTATAATAGCTCCAGGAGATACTACTTCAATTCAACAACCTCTCTGGACGACCCCACCCATCTTGCAGATGTCCCCAGATTGGGGAGGAGGATCACCTCCTCTACTCATGACAGCCACAAGCATGCTCGGTAAACCTGCATGTCCTGTGTGACCGAGCACAAAGTTAGCGGTTAGCAGACTGGGGGCCATGCATGTATTATGGACACAGCCTTTGCTATCCTCTCCCGCTCTGTATTACCCTCTCCTGCTGGAACACTCGGCCTAGGTGAATCTTCATCTTATGGTTGCATTGCCCACTTGTGTTCTTTACCTTGGGCAGAGCGGGCAGACCTGCTAACATGAAGAACAGGCGGTCCTGAGGACGCTAGCCCCAGGCACACCCAGCAGCAGCTAGAGGGTTGCTGGAGCGTTCTGAGAGTGGCTGGGAACAGAGATTGTGCAGGCTGAGCCAGTGAAGAACTGAAGGCATGCTGAGATGATGAGTCTGTGGACAGAGAAGGGCAGCTGAGAGCCATGAAGATGGAGGAGCGGTAGCCAACAATCAAGAGCTATTAGTTCCGGCTGGCTGTGAAGGTGTGGCCCTAGGAGAGCAGTCCTGGCACCTTAAGCTTGGAGTTGCTGAACTAAGAATCTGTCATTCATGATTTCCTTCTGAATACAGCAAAAGAATCCTCAGCCTATTGGGAGCGAAAGCACCCGTGTTAAGGTAGTGAGACTTAAATGGCATGAGGGACGCAAAGTAAACTTATCCAAGGGCCTGGCTCTTAGAGCGCCTGGAGTGGCAGTGAGGAGGAGGATGCTGTAGCTGGTGAAGGGAGCCAGGAGACCTGGAATTTGCCAACCATCTGATAAGATTCTGGACCAAATTTGTTTCAGAAAGAGTACTGGGAATACTGGGAAGGTCTTAATCCCTGCCAGTCTATGGCTTGAACTTCTTGCTAACCACAAGCAGAGATGGCAAAGTTCATCTGGAGTTGGACAGATGTGTCTCAAGAGTAGTGGCAGTAGAGGAAGAGATTTTATAAGAACTTTCTTCAAAGTAATGCACGTACACACACACACACACACACACACACACACACACACACACACACTTCCATACAAAGTTTCAGGAGCCTGCCTCATCCATTTGGAGTCTGTCATGGAAATGGCTGGAAAAAAGTGTCCAGTGTTAGTAGAGTTGAAGGCTCATTTCTGCCTTGCTAGCTTGTTTTCATAGGTGGTGCTCATGTTGTGTTTTGACCACTTATGGAGAGAAAAGAATGCTTCCTGGAGCTACAGCTTGTTGAATCTTTGGAAGAAGAGCAATCAAAAGAACTTTATTGATGTAAGCAAGATCCTTGTGTTGCCATTTGCTTAGTTAAGATGCATGCTTGTTCGCTCTGTTTTAGGGAGCTACATTAAGGCCCCTGGCTTGTTCAGCTGAGAAAGACCACTTCCACTTTGTGAAAGCATGTGCCTGGGAGGCAGGGCAGTGCATATTTGTGTGCAAAGGGTCTGACACAGACATTGTGATGCACTGAATAAATGTAATTATAGAGACTTGTTCCCAGAAGTGATCTAGAAGGTCAAGCTAGTCCAATTTCATTTTACAAATGAAGATACTTGAACTTATAAGGGAAAAGTCACTCACTGGCGTTACTCTGGGTAAGGTCTGGATGCTACTTACATGCCTGATTTTGGAAAGCCTGTGACATGCACAGATCCATGTATAGGCATGTGCATGCGCATACACACATACACGCATATCAAGGGTCCAAAGCCATTGCCAGAAGACACATCAATGACCAGCAGCACTCTCTGCTTCCCTTCTGAGGCTGCTGTTTCCGTCACTGTAAGGCCACTGTCACTTTGCCTCCAACTGTACCGGGTTACCTAATTTCCAATCTGGCTCATGAACGCCCACTTGTGTCTGTTGAGTCATTTCCTTCCAAGAGGATTTTCCTTCGTTTGTCACGGTATTCATTTCTACGCCAACTCATGAATGAGGAAATCGGTTATCTGAACTCAAGTGCAAGACTGTTCTCTCTTTTACCCCTAGCAAGAATAAAGTTTTTGTTTAAAAATGCATTGAGGTCTTTTGGGGAAGTTTTTGTTTATTTGTTTTTAATAGTCAAACCAGCAGAGCACAAAAAATAAGTTGACATGAAGAAAAACTTGTCATTGCCCCAAGCTTTGCAGGACAAGTTCTCATTCTAAAAACGGAAGCTTTCCTGCCCATTATTTCTTCTTTGCATAGTCACAGTGCTGTGTTCACAAGATGCTTGTTAGGACTCTCGGAGTCCGGTGTTCAGCAGACGCCCTTCAACCCATCGGGTCCATTTCTTCCCAGCATGGAGATGTACATTGAAATAAGGAACTTCAGGAGCTCCCGCAGACTGTGCATCGAAAAGCTGTTCTACAACAAAAACACATTGCTCCATAGTGCCATCATGAAACCTAATATTATGTAGGAGAAATTGAAAAATAAAAGTTTTAAATTTAAAAAATAAATAATTTATCTTAAAGACAGACATAACAACGTATTGATTAAACTAAAATAGATAAAATTATAAACATTGAAACAACTTTACATCTTCTGAACAGCTAGATTTGAATTTACAGAGGTCTGCGTGGCTCTGCCTTTAAGCACTGGGATTAAAAGCGTGTACCACCCCACCCAGTTTACAATTTTGAACTTTTATGGCACATACTATAGAATTACTCAGATGAACAACTCTCTACACCTGTAGAAATAAGTATAATGGTCATATTCTTAAAATAAAGTTTTATTTTTATATTTATTTATTTATTTATTTATTGAGGCAGGGTTTCTCTGTGTAGCCCTGGCTGTCCTGGAACTCACTCTGTAGACCAGACTGGCCTGAACTCAGATCTACCTGCCTCTGACTTCTGAGTTTTGAGATTGAAGAGATGTGCCACCATGCCTGACTTAAAATGTGTTTTTATTTTAGTGAGTAATGTTTAAAAGGCTATTTTCTTTGAGGGGATAGCATGGATTTAGACTTTGCTTCAGACGCATGAATTGGCTTTTAGTTCCCAAGATCATTGGCCCAGGTATGCAGTTTCCCAGAATTGTCCTGAAGAACACAGGACTGAGAAGAACCCAACTACTGGTGTGAGCATTCCCCTTTATTTCTTTTTTTTTTTTTTGCCTGCAGACATTTTTAAAAATGATGGTACATCTTAGAATCACTATCATCATCAAATGGAGGAGACATTTATAGATAGTGAAAGATGTAGATTTGAGTCATGTGTGTGTCTTTTCCACAGTCTGTTGGAATCTGGCCTCTTTCTGGAGTGTGTTGGCTGTGCTAATTCTGCCATTCACAAGGCTTCTAGTGGTAAATGTGAGGTTGCCTTGACTGTGCCAGGAGTGCCCGGTAGCCTTGGCTGGCCTGCCGCTGAAGGCAGGTGTTAGTCATTGCTGACCCAGGTCTTCTCTTGTTTCAGTGCATGAAGGCAGCCCCCTGGGTGAGCTCCACCGCTGTATCCGAGAGGGAGTGAAGGTCAATGTTCACATCCGCACTTTCAAGGGACTTCGGGGTGTCTGCACAGGCTTCCTGGTTGCATTTGACAAGTTCTGGAATATGGTAAGTGCCTTTCTCACAGCTCCTATGTGTCTAAAGGACATGGGTAGCCTTGTTAAGCAAAGCCCTCGGAAGACCTTCTCAGAACTGAAATCTTTCTACACCTTGACAGTCACCACTGAAAACAGCGTTACTGCTCCTTTCCCTTAAAGCAGGGGTGTCAGCCTGCGTAGGTTTGCTTTTCCCTCCCTCCCAGGATCACGGGGCAGTGTGTGGAGAGTTGATTATTTTTTTAATAGTCACATCTGTATGAGATGCTGGCATGCTGCCTTATAAGCATTGACAGCACACAAACAGCCTCCCTTCACCAAACAACCAACTTCCTTGCCCTGCATGCTTTTAGTGCTAAGGTTGAGAGGCCTAACCTTAAGGAACAATTATGTTATTATTTAGTAATTCTTTTTTTTTTTTTTTTGAGACGGGATTTCTCTGTGTAGCCCTGGCTTTCCTAGAACTACCTCTATAAATCAGGTTTTAGACAAAGGTGGAACTCAATATATAGACCAGGCTGACCCAGAACTTACGGAGTTTGCCTGCCTCTGCCTTCTGAGTGCTGCCATTAAAGGCATGCATCACTATGCCTGCAGCCGCTCTTTTGTTCCTGTCTCAAAAACCAAGGTGCACAGCTTCTGTGGGCTATGACACCCGGGGTCTGGCTGCTGACCTTGAGCACACACACCCTGTAGTGGAACCTGGCCTCAGACTTGCAGCCTTTCCAGCCATCTCCCTCCATGTCTGTTCATGGATGGGCTGCCCGTTCTGCTGTACCTTTTACAGATGAAGACTGAGTCCAGAGAAGTTGGATTCATGCCGGATCTTACTGTTAAGAAAGTACAAGACTTTAGCCTGAGTCTTTATGGCTCCTAAAACCCTGTTCTTATTGTTTGTTTGTTTGGGTCAGTGTCTCTTATTGTGTAGCCCTGGCTGTCCTGGAACTAGCACTCTAGATCAGGCTGGCCTCAAACTCAAAGAGATCTCCTGCCTCTGCCTCCCAGGTGCCGGGATTAAAGGTGTGCACCTTCTGGCTTGAAACCTTTCTTTTAATTGCTATGGAATTTGAATACTAGAGGCTTCACCATTTAGTAACTCCTCCGAGCCTCAGGTTTCTCATTTCAGAAAGAAGACTCACATGCTGTGATGATTTTATTGTTGATAAGAGCCAAGTTTCTCTGTTTGTCTTTCTGGACAGAATCTCTCTCTGTAACCTGGATCCCATTATGCTGCCTAGACTGGCCTTGAATTTACAGCAGTCCTCCTGACTCAGTCTTCTTCCCGGGATTACAGGGGTGAGCCACTATATCTGGCCCTGGGGAGAAGAATTATGGAGAATAATTTTTGTCAGTAGTGGTCATAATTACTATTTCTTTAGATGTGTAGGGTAAGTTTGCATTTTTCAGAGTAATTTCCATTGCATAATCTCACTGATCTTGACAGTTGTCCTGTGAGGCTGATGCTGATCTTGCTGGTGAGAACTACCTGGTGAACCTCAGGCTCACTGAAACTGAGGAGGATAAAGGAGTAGTCACGCTTCTTAGCATGTGGTTTACAGCTGCCCTGCAGCGTCACCACCTAGGGTTTCTGTTTAACAGTGCACGTGGGAATCTCTAATAGCCTTGGCGCTGATGAGATGGCTCAGGCAGGTAAAGTCACTGGCCAACAAGCCCGAAGACAAGATTTGGTGCCCAGATCCCACTGGTAGAAAGCAAGAGCTGAGTCCTGCAGATTGCTATCTGACGTCTATGCCCTTGTGGAAGCACACGCGTGTAGGGAAAAAAGTTCGAACTCACTTCTAGGGTTTGAAATCCCACCAATGGTCACTCTGAAAATCTCTACCCTGGAAAACTCCACCCCCTAGAAACCCTATATAAGCCTGCCATGTAGGGTAAAAGGTCCAAGCCCACTTCTGGATCCCCAAACCCACCAGTCCCCAAGTTCAAAAACTCACCAATCTGTAAGCCCAAAATTCCACCCAGCCCCAACCTGGAAATCTTCACCCTGGAAAACTCCACCCCTTAGGAAACTCCAAGTAAAATCTGCCTTCTGCTCAGTTCCCTGCTGCTTCTGGCCACTCTTGTGTATCTCCTCTTATGTAATCTCTTTTGTGAGGCGTGTTGTGCAGTGACTTTGTTGTCGTCCTTGGCTTCCAACAGCCAAGATACCTTTCCCCACAGAGCTTTCATAGGGAAATTCTTCCCTTCACAGCTGTAACTCTTAGATTGGTTTTGTGACTCGGATAAGCTCTTCTGCTGCCCGAGCTCCTCCTTAGGGGCTGCTGCCTTGGGACCCTGTCCCTCATCTCCAGTCCACCTGCAACACACTCACCTTCCCACTCACTGATCGCCGACACTCCGTCCACTAGTGGCATGTTCTCCCTTAGGTTGGTGTAAATGCTTCCCTGAGTCCAAGGAAGAGACTGTTGAGCGTCTGGCACCCCTCCGGTACTCTTGGAGGCAGAGGTATGCCGATTAAGGCCCTCTTCACCTGACACCCTTCCAGCTATAATCCTGCAGTTTCCTTAAACCCAGCTGGGACATTGCACCCCTTTCTGCCTCCCTCGAATCTGCCTATAATCTCAAACCTTCTCTAGGCCCTCATGGCTTTTTTGACTTGGTTCCTGGTGGGTTCCTGTTGATAAGACCCCATCCCTGAGCTCAGTTTTTCATTGCTTCTAGGCGAGCCTTCAGGCCTCCTCGAAAGCCCTAATATCGGGCACCGAGTCTCGTCATTGGGCTGTTAGTCATGATTCCTGTTGACTGCATTGATAACCCAAGGAGTGGCTTGGTCTTCCTGGGTCCTCCCTGAGTTTTGGGGATGCTGTGGACTACAGCCTGCAGTGACATTTTTCCCTCTTGTCCCCTCTATAACTGTCCATGGGAGCAATGTCTTTGGTGCCCTCTCATTCTCCCCTTGCGATGCCCTTTAGAAAACCTTCAGCCTCTACACCCGGCACCTGACCTGAAGGGCCCTAAACTTGTTTGCTTTTACAATCAAATGTGGCCTTACTACACTTAGATAATCAACCCAAATAGCCTCCTAATGGCACCCCAGATCCCAGTATAGTTAGGACCTTAACAAATACTGAGAGAGATCAGGAAATGGAAAAATCTTCCCCATTCCCTATATTCAAGCCTTCTCTTTCTTCAACTCTAAGCCTTGTTGTTTTGGTCTGGTCTCCCGCCACACTGTGTAATTGTCTTGTCTTAAGTCACTGTTGATGGATCTGTAAGTTTGTTCCAATGTGGGAGCCAGAGCCAGGGAGGGAAGAAAGTGAAGGAGTAGACCACATACACACCCATGCACACACACACACACACACACACACACACACACACACACACACTGCTCATCCTCTGTCTATAGCCAGGACTCAGACACTCCCTATCTCTAAGGCCTACTGGGTTCAGTTTTACAGGCATTCAGGTGTATTAGGTAGGAGTGGCATTAGACTGCTGTTTTGTGCTGTCCCCCTCCAAGTAAATACTGGCTCTGGAGTCAGGTAGGGCTTCCTCTCCTCTAGACCTAGTGTGTTTGTTTAAAGGTTTCCTCTAAGATCTCTGTCCCATATTAGGTGAGCCACCTGGCTCTGTGACAGAGAAAGGAGAGGAACACAGAGAGACAGAGGGTTCCCAACAGGGACCATTGCTACTCATCTCATCCCTTCTGGTCTTGTCTAATTCTCTAAAACTTGCTAATGTAACAGTCTTATCTCAAGATTTGTAAGACTATTGTGCAAACTCTTTGGAGGTGGTAAAATGCTTGCCGAGCCCTGAGCCAGATCCCTTCTTGCTCCCTCTCTGTTGTTTTGTTCGTTGTTTCTCTGTTTAAAGGCATGTGGTACCACGCTCCAGCTGTGTGAATTTTCTCAAGATTTGTTAGCATATTATTGGGCATAATTAAAAAGCTGTAAACTCAGCGGGGCGATGATGACGCACGCCTTTAGTCCCTGCACTTGGGAGGCAGAGGCAGGCGGATCTCTGTGTATTCAAGGCAGCCTGGTCTACAGAGTGAGTTACAGGACAGGCTCCAAAGCTACATAGAGAAACCCTGTCTCGAAAAACAAAGCAAAAAATGTCTGTAAACTCTGTAACACTGGGGTTGACAGTTAAAAAACCTGTGCATAGGTAATCTTAAAGGAGATGTAGCTTGCTGTTGTCACCCCACTGGGATGGAGGCAGCCACGTGGCCGACAGCCATCTTTGCTAGGGTTAGAAAGGATGGAATTTGCCGTATGACTTCACTCCCATCTTGGTTAAAAGTGACCACACAGAATAAGCCAACCAAGGAAGAATCAATTCCTCCTAGCTATGATGCTCAAACCAGATGTTTAATAAGGGATTAGAGCTGCACCTTCGTGTACTCATATGCAAGAATGTACCTCAACTGCTAACTGAAATTTGTAATACCAGAGTCACCTAGGTGACATTAGTTTAACGAAGGACATGAAGGGTTGTGGAGAGCAACTGAGGCGTGGCCCTGTGTGGCAGAACTGGGGTTCCTAGAGAGCACGGGAGAGGTTGTGGTGAAAATGCAGCCCAGCTGCAGTGAGAGTCTAAGGAAGTGTGTGATGGTCTGAGGATGTAGGGCTAAAAATCTGAGATCAGAGTCCCAGGTTGAAAACTCACCAGTCCCTGGACTCCAAATCCCACCAATCCCTGAGTTTAAAAATCTACCAGTTACTGAATTTGAAACCCCACCAATCCCTACCCTGAAAATCTCCACCTCCTTCCTCCCACTTAGTTCTCTGCAGCTTCTCCCCTGGGCAGAGGCAGCCACCCTCCGTGTCTTTCCCAGTGAATTATTGTGTGAGGTTTGTTGTGCAGTGTGACTTTGTAGTATTCCTCAACTCCCAACTGCCAGACTTCCCCTAAGAGCTGCAGCATTTGCTTTGGAGAAATCCTTTCCTCAGAGCTCAATGTACACCTCCCCACAGACACACAAATGTAAAAATTTTTTTAGCCGTGTGCTAATGTACACTTTTAATCCCAGTACATCAGGGCAGAGGCAGGCATAGCTCTGTGATTTCAAAGCCAATCTGGCTTACAGAGAGAGTTCCAGGTCAGCCAGGTCTATATAATGAGATCCTCTCTCAAAAAAGGGGGGAAGTTAGGATAGAAGGGTTAAAACAGAACCAGCCAAAAAAACAAAAAAAAAAAAAACAAAAAAACTTCACTTTTATTTTAAGAACAGACTTATGTTTGTATTTTAATAAGCTTTCTGCATATTTCTGTGCACTGAAATTTCTGAATACCTACCATGGGGTTGTAAAGGCCCTGCCATTGTCAAAGAAGCTCGTCTAATATGCCGGAGGAAGCTTGGACATCCTAGCAGCTGCATCGGATTTACCGTCTTGTGACCATGCTGAGTCGCCTGTGTAGTTCTGTACCAAGACGCTCTCTACCTTTATCAGTGCCGCTATCAGTAACATCCTTTCCCCTTTTCTTCCCTTTGTGCTCCTCCAGGCCCTCACTGATGTGGATGAGACCTACCGTAAGCCTGTGTTAGGCAAAGCCTACGAACGGGATTCTTCGCTGACTCTCACAAGGGTAGGCAGCTCCCCCTGACCTCCTGTGTGCCCACCCTGCCTTCTAGCTTAGATGCCATGGTCACAAGCCACTGCCTGGGAACCAGGTGTCCGCATCAGAGTCTTAGTCCCTCACTGCACGCTTCCAGCAGATCCTAAAAGCACCTGCTTTTTACCTGCATATGTGAGCCACAAGTTGCCTTCCAACTTTGCACCACAGATGTAAGGGTGCCTTTTCTCTTGTCATAGTTATCTGAGTTTTGTCTGGAAGTTGAAAAGTGACCATTACCTTTTTTTAAAAAAGTCAATGCAAGGCATTCACACGCTGTAGCTGAGGACGCTGACCGTGGTGTGTTGGCAGAGTCAGATGGAGGTATTCCACGGCTAATGGTTGTCACTGCTTTCCTTATAGCTGTTTGATCGGCTGAAACTTCAGGATTCCTCCAAAAAGGAAGCAGATTCCAAGTCTGCAGTTGAAGACTCCACCCTGTCTAGATACTCCCAGACGTCCACTTGGAAAGTGGCTTCAGTGTGGGGACGAGGAGACACTGACCGGGGCTCCTCCCACAGGCGCTCGCGCTCCGTCCCCTCCTCCCTGCAGGCATCTGCGAGGGAGGGGTCCAGGTCTGAGCTGTCAGGGAGGACTACACGGACAGAAGGGTCCAGTGCGGGAGGCACCTTCTCCAGGGCCACCACCCTTTCACGGGGCGCATCCCGAAAGAAAAAGAAAAAGCCCAAGGTGGATTACCAGCAGGTATTCACGCGACACATAAATCAGATTTTCATTCGAGGCGAGAATGTCCTGCTGGTTCATCTCGCACAGTGACCACCTCAGCCCCAGTTGACCCTTGGGTTTAGAAATAAAGTGCATGACCTGTTCCTTTGCCACACCCTAGTACCCCAGTCAAAGTGTGAGTCACAGGGGTTCCCACTGGTCCTGCCCGTACAGAGGACAGAGCTGGCTCACCCTCTGGAAGCCGAGTCGAGGGGAGGACTGGTCAGCAGTCCTAACCAGGCAGAAGCCATCCGCAGTGTATCTCTTGCCGGGCTGCCCTGGTCTACTCCAGAGTCTCAAGCGAAGCTGTTCCCTTTGACTCGGGGTCATAGCATGAGTGGAATCCACTCCGTGGAAACTGTAAGAAACGCCTGAGAAAGAATGATTTCATTTCTAGAAGCTAGTGCTCTGAGCACCCTGAGTCTGATCTAAGAACAACAGTGTAAATCGCCCGAGAGCCCTTCACCCATATCTCGGAACTGACCTTTGCTCTACATCATTCTGTCTTGAGCAGGAAGTGACATTTCTCACCCTCGAATATTAATAAGGTCTAGGAAAGTTACCAGTGTATGCAGGAGTGAAGCTCAGCTAGGTGGCCGCTCTAAGTAGTCCGTGGTGACAGCTCCGCTTTGATCCCCTCTTCTCGTGGGAAGGAAAGCAGAAGCTTGTTGATCTTCCCCTCACCAGAGGTGGCCTCTGCACATGGTGTACCAGATGGAACTTTGCCGTGCTTGTGGCTCGTTGTCCTCTCCGACTCCTGTGGCATGGTGCTAGTGTGCATGTGCTCTGTGGTATTGCCCTGTGTGTCATGTGTCAGCTGTCCTGATGTGACCTTCGTGTCTGACCTCAGAGAGTTCTGCGTGAACTCAGTAATCCACATATATCACGTGGCTGAGAGTCCCCTTTCTAGACGGGACTGGGTGGTTTCTGTGAAAGAGGGGTCACACACTTTCTTCCCTGTGTCATGCCTGTGAGCTTCTTAAGAAGTGAATGGGTGTGTCGTAACGGCACTTGGACTCCCATTTAAGCTTGAGTGACAGGAATACCAAAGGACCCAGGGATGCTCCTACTTGAACTCTATCACCGTATGCTTTTCAGTCACAATACAGAATGGGCTACATCTTGACATAGACTGTTAGGCAATGTTGATTTTCAGAATTTTGTTTATACTTGCTTTATGTTAGATAACTTATGTTCCAAGTAAGACTAAAAAAATAACTAGTCAAAATCTATGTATGAATAGAATGTTTCCCCTGCTGGGTTTGTAGACAGCAAGGATCAGCCTCCTGAGATGCAGGCTAAATAAAGTTCTGTTAGCTGGACCACTGCCTCATCAGACAATGAGAAGTGAGCAGATGTGCCTCAGTTTCCCCATCAGACACCTACCTCACCAGGGCATTTTGGCAGAATTCTAGGACGGTGTTTTACAGCCTCTAAGCATTATCTAAGTGCCATGAGTAATTTTCCTCACTCTCTTGCATAGCTCAGTAAACGTTCTCTTGTCCTACGAGCAAGGCAGGTGCTACTTAAGAAAGATGCCCTCCCAGCTGCCATCTGAGAACTGAGCGACTGTGTCTGACGGCCTGTTCTTCCCTCCAGAGAGGAACTGTTCTCAGAGGAACATCTTCATTAAGGAAAGAGTGACGTTCTTTTTGCTGCTCCCCGACATCTCAGCCCCTGCTTTTCAAGGGTATCTGTTGTGTGCATTGTTTCCAAAGGGGGATTTGTGGGCTTTCTGTCTGCTTCTGTTCACCTGCTTTGATTTCTCATCGTATCTAAGTTTGAAGGCAGGGCAGATGCACTGAGGGCTGTGGAGGCTTTGGGTACAGACCAGGCTCATGACTCTTGTCTTCTGATCTACGTTCCCTTCTGCCTCCTGTGCCCGGTCTCTGTATCACCTCCATCTCCACCCGTGTTGCCTGTGTGGCTGTCCTTAGCTAGGAGCTATAATGGTTGCTCTTTTTTCCTGCCTACGTGGAAATGTGCAATCAAAAAGAATAGAAGGAATTTCCATTCATCCTAGTGACCCTCCTGACTTATTTTACACACATGCTAGTTTCATGTTGGTGTATAACTCTCTTATTTCTATACGGATTGATTTATAATTTTCTGCTCAACATGACAGCTGTAGCTGTGAAAATTGTGTGTGCTCTCCTTTACATCTCCTCCATTTGTTTGTTTAATTTGGACAGTGATCTGAAATGAATCCTCGCTAGGAAATGTGCAATTTTGTGCAAAGCATGATATTTATTTTTCGATAAGTCAATTTAATTATTGCCTTTTCTTTATTATTGGAAAAATTTTTCAAAAATAAAGAAAAATAGTTTCTAATATATTGCTGTTCAAAAATGATATCACATAGATCATAGTGGGTCACTGTAGTGACTGGACTGAGCTGGTTGTTTAGTGATAGGCCCAGTGCTTGGTGTTCAGAGACCCTGAGTTCAGTCCCTGACATGAAAGAATGAGTGAATGAGTCAATCAGTCAATAAAAGTTGCTATGGAAACAGCTGAGAAAGAAAGACCCTGAGGAAAGGGGTTGGTGAGGTCGAGTACTAGCAGACACTAGAAGACCCTTCCTTCTGAGGAACCCCATGAATCGAGAATGGAGTAGAGCCTCCTCACTGGTGTTTTGTGGGGATTAGGGTTTTCTTTTGAATAAACAGTTTTGATTGTTCAAACTAATTTTTAGAAACTCAGATAATTCACAGAATATTCCTGTATTCTTGTTGAGGTCTTTTCAGGAGTGTTTGGCTTTGTTGGGTGGTGGTGTTGCCAGCAATTAGTATGGCCAGTGATTGGCTTGGAGTTTTGTTTTTTTTTTTTTTTTGGTTTTCTTTTTTAAATTTTTTATTGTTTTAATTGATATATATATATATATATATATATATATATATATATATTCCCCTACCTTCATCTCCCTTCGCCTCCTACCCTCTCCCATGATCCCCATGCTCCCAATTTACTCAGGAGATCTTTTCTTTTCTTACTTCCCATGCACATTAGATCCATGTATGTCTCTCTTAGGGTCCTCTTTGTTGTCTAGGTTCTCTAGGATTATGAATTGTAGGCTGCTTTTCTTTGTTTTATGTCTAAAAGCCACTTATGAATCAGCACATATGATATTTGTCTTTCTGGGTCTGGGTTACTGTATTCAACATGGTGTTTTCTCTAGATCCATCTATTTTATTTGGGTTTTCGTTTGTTTGTTTTCGCTTTGCTTTGTTTTTTGAGATAGAGTCTCACTGTGTCTCCCTGGCTGGTCTGAAACTCACTATGTAAATCAGGCTGACCTGAAACTCACAGATCTGCCTGCATCTGCCTGTTGAGTGCTGGGACCAAATGGGTGTCCCACCACCCCTGGCTCAGCTAGAAGTGTTACAAGTTTAGCCACAGTTTTTGTGGAATTTTGAATAGAAATTACAAGTAGGCAAGCATCATCTCCTGAACAAGGTTGTTAAAGGTTCCTGCTCAAGTGTAAGGGAGACAGCATCACAGGTCAGGGGCCCTGAGTGGTGTCCAGGGACTAAGATCTACAGCTTTGATAGACAAAGGAGGCCAGGCTCCTCCAGGCACAGTCAGCCATGCGCAGACGCCAGGATTTCTGCCCATGTTGTGGTGACTGATTTGACAGAGTGGTCTGCTCGTGTCTGTTGGCTTTGTTTGTGCTCAGCTTGCAGAAGTTCCTGGTGGTGCTCACACCACCACTTGGGATGACCACATGCTGGTCAGGTTCAGACATGTTGTGCATCTAGGTTACAGGAAAGCTGGGGAAGGAGCCAGCAGCTTCTGAACCTGGTCTTGGGTGGAAATACTGTTTTGAAAGTAGTCTGCATTAAATGGACAATGTTAATGTGGAGGTAGGAACCTTTGCTGTGTCCTGTGGTTAAGAGATGGCTGCTGGAGCCCTGCCGCGTGCCGTTCTGTGCCCATAGAGCTGTTCTTGCGCTCCACATTGGCACAGCTTTCACTGAGCTGTCTGTCTTAATGTCCCTGAAGCTTGAGATTTTCTTTCTTAGGGCCAGCAGGTGACTTGTGAAATGCTTAGCTAGTTAGCTTCTGAGGCAGGGGATTTGGAGCAGTCTGCACCTTGCTTTGGCCTGGTGCTCAAGTCAGAGAGCATTCCAGTGTGGATGCCCAGGAACCCTTGCAGTGAGCTGCGGTCAGATCAGGAGCAGCCCTGTGTGTCTTAACAGGGAAAGAATGCCCCTTCAGAGGTTGTCAGGTCGCGGTCATGGTGGTCTGAGCTGCCCTTAGTCCTCATTGGCCTACCAGAGACCTGTGCCGACACTTCTGCCCTTAAAGAAAAAAGAAATCAACCCAGCATGGTGCAAAGTGGGTGTTTGTGTTTCTGTTTGCACTCTCTCCATAACGGCCACCCAGGCAAAATCATGAAATACAGTTGGCTCTATAAATTGCTTCTTTAAATGTCCTGCAGATTTTTTCCTGTAGGAAAAAATTAAAATTATTTAAAGACAGCTAGCTGTCATTGGTGCTCCCCCCAAAGCGTTTCATTCCCTTCTCTACTTTTTATGAATGAAATGGTTGCTGTGCGTAGGTCAGGTTGATGGGAGAAAAGAGTCTGGTAGTATAAGCTGAGTAGTTGGAGAGGCGTTTTCCTTTTTCTCTTCCCGAACCACATCTGGAATGCATGCGGCTCACTGTCAGCACCTCTGTTCACCTGTCCATGGCTTTCTTGCCCAGAAGGCTTGTTCCCAGTGGCTGAAAGCAAAACCATCTCATCTGATCTGTGTGGGAAAGTCTGCTGTTACTTTCTGGCAGATTGGTGGACTTAAGATAAGCCTTGAGGCTCCTGTCAGTTTTCTGAAGAAGGGTTGGGCCTCTGCCACTCCCGATGTTTCGAGTACATTTCAAATGTTTGTCAGTTCACTCTCCTAATAAAAGTGAAAGCCTTCTGTCAAGAAGTAGTCTGAAGGTGGGGGCGAGAAAACTCATGCACTCAGTACTATGGGGTCTCTAAGCTGTCAGAGTCCAGGCTCCATGGGAACACCTTCTGCAAACATGGGGTGTCCCTTCGGAAAGCTGAAACTGTGGTTCCTTGCAATCGCCTTTGATTGTGAGTCCTTGGGAG